TATCTCAGATTCTCCAGCATCTGCAGTTCCTACTATGTCTGAAACCAGTATAGGCCAGTTGGGTGAATGCTCTGCTTCAGTGCTGTCATTCAGTGTAATTCCATAAATCTCGCACATTACTGATTCTATCTACTGCCTTCTTCACATGAAGATTTCTTGATACCAATCATCATGGTTCTAGTTGAAGTGCATTTGCTTTGTAATTTTATAAGTTTCCACATTGTAAATTTTGACGCCAAATTTCTTTACATCCAGAACATGTGGGTTTGCAATGTTTAATTGTCTAGTTCAAGATGTTAAATTAAACCATAGAACTTTTAGCTGTAACAATCTGCAAAATCTTGTTGAAATATCTTGTTCTCTTCTTCTGTGAGCTAGCTTTATCTGGTGATTGATGATAACAGACAATTAGAAAGACACATTGACAGAGATTACAACTTTCTCGAGACCAGCTATCTATCAATAACAACAACTTGTATTTATATAGAGCCTTGAACACATTAAAACATCCTGAAATACCTCCAGCTGCATCATCAAACAAAATTACATGACCAAATGTTTAAGTAAAGAGGTAGGTTCTAAGGAGCATCTTAAATGAAGAGAAAGAGATTGAAAGGTGCAGAAGTTTGGGGAGGGAATTCCAGAGTCCAGACAGCTGGAGGCAGGACTGCCAATGGTGAAGTGATTAAAATCTAAGATTGAACAAGAGGCTGGAATGGAAAGAATGCGGATATCTCAGAGGGTTGTGGGGCTGGAGGAGAGTATAGAGATAGGGAGAGGGCAAGGCCATGCAAAGATGTGAAAGTAAGGATGAGAATTTTAAAATTGAGGCGTTGCCAGACAAAGAAGCAACGTGGATCAGTGAACACCCCCTGATGGGGCAAGGTGGGGGTAGATTGTGTGATGGGTGAACCAGGTTGACTGGTACTTTGATGTAGTCAGGCAAGAATGTAAATGAAAACAGGACTTTCTGGAATTGTGAGTTCATTTGCATCTGAAAGAAAACAGCACTACCTATTTTTCATTGAAACATTGTGTCATAATACAAGTTCACCCTGAATATACAGGTAATTTCTCTCAGATGTTCCACACCCTGCATATTTCCAGCAATTTATGTTTTTTTCAAATTTTCTGATCTCTAGAATTGGCAGATAATTCCCTTCAGTTTGAAGTGTATTGATACAGAGACCCAGTTACCTCTGTCGTACAGACAGGTCTGCCTGACCTCCTACTGAACACAGTAACAGACTCTGCAGGAGTCAGAGCTTTTGAGTGTTGTCATCAAATTGTTCAAAAGATTCAAACTCATGTTTCCCATTAACAGGTGACAGTGTGATATGGCAAAAGCTTCTTTCCAACGTTCCTGCACTCTCCAGGTCTCATTGTAGCTTTTGATCCCCAAAACTCAGAGAACACAATGGCCTGATCAGTTCTAATTACATTCAAAGACCTCGCTATTTGTATGGCTACCTTACCTAATCTGAATAGAGTTTCTCATCCTCTTTCTCAGGTTTTTTCATTCATCTTTCATTGCCTCAGAATAAAGTATTTCCATTTGCCAGCTTTTCATGGTATTTGATTCCTTGCCTGCTATTGTATCAGCTGGTAATGGTTGCAGGTACTGATATTGTGAAAGCACTTCATTAGATGGCAACAAACACACGAACTAGACTAACCAACCCACTCTGAATTTATGCAGCAATTGCCTGTAATTGAGGCAGACCATAAGCAATCTCTCGGCGTCATCTTCTTGTTCTGTAAACCTGACCGTGAACTCAAAGCCATTTCTGTACAACAAGATCTATACTTCCCGCTCATCTCAGTTTGACTGCGGACTTTTAACTTCTGTTTCTGTGAGCATGTAAATGTTAAATAGTACATTCCACAGGTAAGGTGTTAATTTACCTGAATACATTCACCATCGATCTGTGAGTATTATATCAAATTATCATTAAAACGTTAAGCTATTTAAGGCCTTACGTATCGATGTTTTTCCCTTCTGACAAGGTGGTGCTGAACATTGCTGCAGCTCTTGCTTGCCAGCCCACACCATGTAGTCAGCAGTAACATAATGCTCTGTCATGTTTTGCCTGGACAGTTACATACATGCAGGTATACAGGCATGGTCAGTGGATAAAGCTCAGGAGCAGGGACCACAACTGATTATTAGCTCTCTCCCACAAATAAGGTGCCATGGAAGTGTCCTCCTGCTGAAAATGAGGTTAACTCCAGTAATAACTAGGATTGAACTTTGTGTTGGCTTGACTGAGTCACTCATAGAGAAAACTCAGGTGACACTTGACCTTAAACTCAATGTTCATTGAAATGGCAACTCAAAACCAAGCCATTTGTTGAGCATCACAACAAAACAAGTTGGATGCAGTAAAATTTAAATTTTCTTAATGCACCTTAATTGGAAGTAAAGTAACTTAAGAGTCCCACTCCCACAGGGACAAAATAACTTCACGAGAAACAATCGATTGAATGATAATTTCCTATTGAATAAGAATAAAAGTTAAAAAAAACTCTGAAAAAACTGAGCAGAATTGGCAGTTTCTGTGAGAAAAGAAACAGAATTAACATTTCAACTTGATGACCAGTTCTTCAGAAAGTTCACCGGACTCAAAAAGTTTCTCTCTCCGTAGATGCTGACAGACCTGCTGAGTTTCTCCAGCAATGTCTGTTTAAATTTCTGATTATTGGCATCTGCAGTATGTTGCTTTGGAGTAACATCCACTTTGATTAATATACCAATGGTTTTTCATGCACCCTAGTTCATTTAGAAATTTAATAAATTTTGAAAGAGCATTCCCACCCTCCCCAATCCTCATCTACACACCGATAAATATAACGCAACAGCTGCAAGTAGAGATTGACATTGGTGTGTGCTGTATATCACACTGGTTATGCTGTGCTTTGCTGAGCATTATGATTTCAGAGATGGAATGCTGCTTGACTTTCTCATTACCAGCCTGAGTTCAATGTCAGGAAGGCTGCCTTGCTTGGTCTGTGAACAGCTTTCATCTGTTGCTGCCAGGTGTAGGTCAAACCGGAGTGATGTAGATTTCTTCCGAAGGTGTGGATTATCCTTGAAAAAGGAGCATTCCCATTCCTTGATAACCTCGTCCACTTTCTCCGTCCTGAAACAATCACAAATATTGAGCAGACTTACTGATCAACTCCTGTTTCTGAACATTTTAGGATAGCACTGATTACTTATTTTGTAGAATCTAACACTTCACAGAAAGCAATCATTCAGTCCAGTATGTGTACCAACTCTTTGAAAGAGCTCTCCCCTGCTCTTCCTTCATACCCTGTTAGTTTTTGCCCTTTAGCTTTCTATCCAATTCTCTTTCAAAAGTTAAATTTGCTTTCACCGCTCTTCCAAGCAGCACGATCCAAATCGCAATAATTCACTGCGTAAAAACAATCCTTTCTGGTTCTTTTGCTATTACAGCATGTCTCTGTCCTCTTGTTACTGACTCTTGAGTCGCTAGAAAACAGTTTCTCCCTATCTACTGTCCAAAACCATTCATATAACAGATACATAAATTACTGGTTCAGTCACAGCAGAGTCACTATCTGCTGTTCTCAATACTGCACTTCAGCAAGGAGATATTGGTCTTGGAGAGTGTGCAGTGTAGGTTTACCAAAATGATACTTGTACTCTGAGGTAGAATGATGTGAGGAGATTACAGAAACTGAAACTATATTCCTAGATTAACAAGGTTAAGTAGCAATTTAATCAGTTTATTTGAGATATTTGGAGGCTCAACAGAGTTGATGGAGAAAAATCTGTACCTGTTGATCAGGGGGAATCCAGAGCGGAGTCTTAAAGGTAAATCCAGGCCTTTTGGAGTGAAATTAGCAAAGACCTCTCATCATAAAGGGTGATGTGGAGGTGCCGGTGTTGGACTGGGGTGGACAAAGTCAGAAATCACACAACACCAGGTTATAATCCAACAGGTTTATTTGAAATCACAAGCTTTTGGAGGGTAGCCCTTCATCAGGTGAAGTGAGAGACAAGCACACAAACCTAAAATTTATAGGCAGAGAGATCAAGGGCGGAGAGATCAAAAGATCATACAACTGGTGTGAGTGGAGTGTCTGCATGGTATATTGGCAAGACCATACAGACTCTACGACAACGGATGAATGGACACCGTGCAACAATTGCCAGACAGGGATGTTCCCTCCCAGTCAGGGAACACTTCAGCAGTCGAGGGCATTCAGCCTCCAATCTTCGGATAAGTGCCCTCTAAGACAGACTTTGAGATACACAACAATGCAGAACTGCCTCAACTGTGATCTTGGATTCATGTTGCACTACATGTGACCCCATCACACTGTTCTGTATCTGTAAAATCTTCCCTGCTGTTCTGTTTTGACAACATCACCTTGATGAATTGTTATGATCTCTCTACCTTAATTAGTTTGTACAGTTTTGGATTACTTGTTCCTTTGGTTAGACCCTTGGCATGTGACCCTTATACTTATCATGTTATTCCAGTCATTTGGTTTGTCTCCAACACCACCTTGTTTTTCATTTTTTGTAATTATCTCTCTGCCTCATTTAATTGGATTATAGGCCATCCCTTCGCTGGTTATTCAGCTGTAGACACTTTACTTACTAACACTCTTGGTCACCTGCAGAGACTTATTATTCGACACTCCACTCACACCAGTTGTATGATCATCTGATCTCTCTGCCCTTGATCTCTCTGCCTATAAATTCTGTGTCTGTGAGCTCTTCTCTCTCACTTCACCTGATGAAGAGGCTGCGCTCCAAAAGATTGCAATTTCAAATAAACCTGTTAGACTAAAACATGAACATTGTTCCAGATTTACAGCATCCACACTTCTTTCGGTTTTTATTCTAAAACCTGGTGTCATGTGACTTCTGACATTTTAAATATAGCATGGTAGAAGATTGGAGCTCTCTTTCACAAACAACAATTGACAATAGTGTAAATTAAAATTTAAGACTAATAGATTTTGTTACTCCGTTTTTAAGACATTTGGAGTAAAGGTGGGTTTATAGAGTTAGGTTGCTATTCAGTGAATTCATTCAATGGTGTCAAAGGTTTGACGTGCTGAGTTGCCTCTCTGTTTTCTACGTTCCAAACTTCAGGGAACCTAAATCAGTTCAGGTTTGCTATTGCCCCTGTTACATTCAGAGGTGTCAGATGTTAATTATTGCTACAATCCTACAGCCTTTCTTTATCCATTTCATGCTTTTTGATTTCTTTCTCACTTCAAAGTTCTCTTTTCCTTTCCTCATCTCTTTCCTCCATTGCCAATTTCTCTGTCCAGAGTTCAAGTTCAAACGTTTGCCTTTCTTGTTCAAATTCAGGTTTTTCTTTCCTTCTTTGTTACAAGCTGCAACTGAATTCTGGCCAACTCAAACTGTGATATGCCTGGGTTAGACACCTCTTCTTTCAGTCTAAGATAATGCAGTATTACCTCAGCTGACCTATCCCCTTCCTAACTCCCCACCTACACTCACCTTTACTGACCCCATCCCCGCCTCTTCGACCTGTTTGTTTCCTCTCCACCTATCCTCTCCTCTATCCATCTTCTATCTGCCTCCCACTCTCTCTCTATTTATTTCAGAACCCCCTTGCCCTCCCCCTTTTCTGATGAAGGGTCTAGGCCCGAAACGTCAGCCTTCCTGCTCCTATAATGCTGCTTGGCCTGCTGTGTTCATCCAGCCCTGCACCTTGTTATCTCGGATTCTCCAGCATCTGCAGTTCCTACTATCTCTGATTCAATCTTACCTCAGCTATTTCTATTTTCTTAGCACTTTTAATTCTAACTCCAACTTTTCTGCTAACCTAGCCTTGGTTATATCTTGCGTAATATTCAGGGATATATCTTCCCTTTCCAGAAAAGTCATTTAGGTTTTCAATAAATAGAATAGCATTCACGGTGAAGGACCTTTCAGCCTTCATCTCAGCAAGTCCCAGCACTTGGATTTGTCTCTGGTTTTCAAATCCCACAGGAACCCCCAAATTATGTTAAAATCATGGACCAAGCTGGCTAGAGACTAATCACTTATTTTGTAAAGTTCACAAAGTGTGAGATCCAGAAGACTTATTAGGAGAATAAAGCCGCAAGATTCCACAATTTTCAACAAGTAACAATAAACTTTACCACACAGTGTTAAAAGAGTGATACAATCTACAGCACATGTGTTAATTATTCCTAACACCCAGGATTAACCTCTGGTAAACATGGAATAGACTGTTATCAAACATTCCACGGAACGCATCAAATACCAAATGTAATCAAAACAGATCCCACAATTTCTCAGCAATTCTTCCAGACCTTAATGACACAGTGGATCAGCAAATCACATTAAACTTCACAATAGATCATAATTTTTTACTTTTGCTGATCTGGCCTTGAAACCCCTGCTCAAGAATCTTTCTATCAGACATTGCATCAAAGAGTGCTCCCATTATGGTTGATCATCCTCCTTTCCTGGGTCAACAGGAAAGGAGGCAACTGTCCATCCAGACTAAAGTAACAAGATGGTGGTGGAATAGGACTCTTGAGTTGGAGCTCATCTGCTCCATCGTTTTCTTTTTTCTCTCTTTTTGTGTTTTCTTTTTCTTTTTATCTCCCGTCCTCATAGCATCAGCAATGTCCAAGGTGAAAGCTACCGCGGACTCCCTGCCTCAGCGTGGACTTGACACCCAGCCTCAAGGTGAAGCCCAGTGCAGTTTTCGTTGGAAGGACTGTTGTTCTGAACTCTTATTTCTCTATCTTCAGAATTTATGTTGGACTTTTTATTTCTTTGTTCTTCTAATTTTTGCTCCTAAGAATTTGTAGTTTAGTAGCTGTACTTAGGTACTTTGGTACCTAAGATGGTGCCGTAAGTGGCAACTTGTAAACTTTTCACTGTATTCATGTGAGTACATGTCACAATAAAGCTAATTTTAATTCTAATTACTAATCTCAGCTTTGAAAACTACACTCCAATACTTATTCATGGCCTTACTTCTGCTTTTCTCGATCGGCCAGCTTCACCAAGTTAGAATTACCACCAGTTTTTCCATGAGCTGTAATTTTACTTAATTGCCTAAAGCAACTACTGCTTGTGCTTTTCAACCCAACAATCAGCTGTACTGAATTGAGAGTGGCACACAGCTTCTTCAGAGCCCGTATAATTTCCAAAACTTTTCATAAGCCCTAACTCCAACACTTAGCTGCCTTCTAACTCCTGGAACTTATGCCTAAACTCTAACACCACTAAGATAGCAAATTACTCTTGACTTTTAAAAACCGAAAAAACTGTGGATGGTCTAAATCAGAAACAAAAACAGAAGTTGCTGGAAAAGCTCAGCAAGTCTGGCAGCATCTGTGAAGAAAAATCACAGTTAACATTTCGGGTCCGATGACCCTTCCTCAGTTCACTCTGATTTTTCTTCACAGATGCTGCCAGACTCACTGGTCCTTTCTAGCAACTTCTGTTTTGCTCTTGACTTTTTACTGAGCCTCCTACACAGAAGCCATGGACTGTATATAATTGCTTCCCAGCAGTACAGTGTAAAAGAAAAAGAACTCTTAATACAGAGTCTATCCTTTTCCTTCTACAATTTTTTTATCCTTGAACTCCTCTCCAGTGACCCCCAAACTGTCTGAGTGACCTATCAAAATCTTTGCTTTAAGCGCCTGCACTGTTGCTGGCTAGAATTGAATGTAGCCATGCACCAACTCTTAGAGCTGAGTGTAGTCTGCATGTTACAGCTCACAGGTTGCTGGCTTTTGAGCACAAAACTGCTTGCAAAAGGAAGGATTCATCACATTTTATTTTATTGTTGACTCAATAAGTCCATATTCACTTATATAGCAGCATAAGCTTAAATTAGGCAAATGATATGCACTCTCAGGCCCTGACATACGAGAATCTTGTCTTTCACAGATGCCCTTCCTCACTTCCAGCTGTGGCTCAGTGGATAGCAGTCTCACAAACTGAACTGCAAAGATTCATGTCACACTCAGAGATGTGAGCAGATATTCCACGCTGACACTCTGAGTTCTGTCCTGAGTGGGAGCTGCACTGTTACAGATCTTCTGTAAAGGGATTCAAATCACAATCCCATCTGCAGTCTGAGGTGGGCAAAGATACTGTGGCACTATTTTGAAGAAGACAAGGGGAGTACACCTGGTGTCCTGACAAATGTTTATCCCTTAACCAACATCACAAAAATAGATGATCTGGTTATTATTGTATGACTGTTTGTGGAATGTTGCTGAGCACAAATTGGGTGACTTGTTGCATTTCAACATTCAAAAAATAGTTAACATCTGTAAGGTGCTTACAGGCAACCTGGTGTTGTGAAAGACTCTATAGAATTGAAAATCTTTCTTTTCATTTTTTAATCATCCATTTGAAACCTGGAACTGTTTTAACACTTCCTCCATGCACAGTGAGTGTCTGCAGGTTCCTGAGACAGTCAGGTACATTGTACCTGTTCAGTGGAGAAACTGTAACGACAATCACAGGGAGTGGGTTGGGGGGGGGAGCTGGTGTGGGGGGGGGCTGGTGTGGGGGAGAAGCTGGTGTGGGGGGTTCGTTGGTGTGGAGAATGGAACCCTTTGGGAACATAAAACTTCAGAAGAAGCTGTTATGGGAAGGTTTGCAGTTATGTTATGAACAGGGATTAGCCTTTGGGGAAACGAAAGCTGAATCTTTGTGAATCAATGGGATAAGCATGTGAACATAATCTGTGTAACATTGTCTAAAAATTGATAATAATCTGCAGCCAAGTTATTTCTGGCAAATCTCAAAAGTTCTGTTAATAACCACAATAACTCAGTGATGTGTCAGAATTTAATTTTATCCACTAATACTCACCATTTGTCTCAGAACTGAATTGACTGCCACTGATTGGGTAGATTCAACAGCCCTCTAATAGTGGATCCTCATGGCTTAGCGAACACTGGACTTGCTTCTGAGTTGAAAAGGTTGTGGGTTCAAGTCTCACTCCAGACAACTAAGTAGAAAAGCTAGGTTGAAGCTTTGGTCCAGTACTCTGGGAATTCTACACTGTCAGCTGTACCAATGTTTAGATGAATTTTTAAAGTGAGGTCCCACCAGTCCCCTCAGGGAGACTGATGAACTCATCCTTAATGTCCTGGCAATGTTTACTCTTTAATCGTCATCACTAAAAAATACATGATCTGATCACATTACTATCCGTGGGAAACTCAATATGCTCAAATTTGTTGATACATTTTCACATTATTAATAATAATAACCACACTACTTCTGTTTTCAGTGGCTGTAAAGGTCAGAAGTGCAGAAAGGTGCGATACAAATGTGTGTTTTTCTCTCTTTATGCAATGTGTCACTGTGGGCTGTGTTGAATGCAATACAAATGATCGGACGCCTCACTGTGTTTAGTATTCACAGGCTCTTTAACTCATCGATGATAGTCTGCCACCCAAGAAACCAGACACCTTGTTGAGAAATGGAAGCCAGCAGCATCACATAGGGCACAGTCCTTAGGGGTCAATTTGCTGAGAATGTTTTGTTCAAGAATCTGAATTTAGTTTAAAAAGATATGGAAATAAAAAAAATGCCACCAGTGAATGTTGTAAAACCCAACTCTGGTGCACTAACATCTCTCAGGGAAGAAGAAATCTTACCCAGTCTGGCTGACGAGACTGCAGAACAAAAGCAACGTGGCTGGCTGAGGAAATTCTCAGGCCTTTGTGAATTTGAGCCAACTCCACCACCATTTAAAGAATGTGATGGTGAGAACCCTGCCCCCTTTCCCAGCGCTGGCTATTTCCTCTTAGGGAAGGATAAGGATGTGAATAGCTAACACATACTCCTGACCTGGCTGACTCCAAAGTGAGGGTAGGCATCTCCTCACCCTCTGCTTCTGAGGTCAATGAGCTGGACTTGACTACCCCTGCCCCGCGTACCTCCACAAGGCAAAGACTGGATTTAACACATCCCTTCATCGTGTCGCAAGGCACAGACCTCAGTAGCAAATGTTGAGCCCTCCGTGTTGACCCAGTGCATGTGGTAACTCAATTGGGAAAACACCAAATACCATTTACTCACAATAGTGAGGAATGGTCAACAAAGAGCTAACCTCATCCTGATAGTGAATAAAAACAATACAGCAGCAAATTTCGTTTGCTTACTCAATGCTTTGTAAAGAATGAAACAAACGTTTTTGTACTTACTGAATTTTGCCATGAGCCTTTGAACTCCCAGCCACTGAATTTTCACCTAGAATCTCCTGAGTTGTCACCATCTGGATTCTCTGCTCCAGGCGGCTAGAGATGGTAGCAGCTGCAAAAGAAACTATTTAGATTAAATGCTGAGGATCGGGTCTTAGACTTAGAATCCCTACCATGTGGAAGCAGGCCCTTTGGCCCAACAAGTCCACAGTGACCCTCAGAGCATCCCACCAATCTACATGTCCCTGAACACTACAGGCAATTTAGCATGGCCAATCCACCTAGCCTGCACATCTTTGGACTGTGGGAGGAAACTCACACAGACACAGGGAGAATGTGCAAACTCCACATAGTCAGTCACCTGAGGATGGAATTGAACCTGGGTCCCTGGTGCTGTGAGGCAGCAGTGCTAACCACTGAGCCACCGTGCCACCTCAATCAAGAGAACTCAGCAGATCATGCCCCACCACTGTACATCAATACCACCTTGTTTTGGAGTAGAGGCTTGCTTAGGCCAACAATGGAGGAACACTCTACTCCCCTCACAATGATGAGTTTGGTTATAAGGAATGACTGCCTTGAGAGATGGAGGTGGGTTGGGGTGTAGTTGGGGGCTAGATATTCGCCTCAGATTGGGAGTTAGATATTGGGCTGGGACTGGAGGCTAGGAATTGAGTAGGAATTAATTTGGTAAGTCTTCGCTGCACTTCCTCTACAGCAAGATAATGAGACTGAAAATGCACACAATATTCCAGTTGTATCCTCACTGAGGCTGTGTATAATTGCAGTAAGACATCCCGTTCCTCTGCCTGAATCCTGTAATCCTTCAATTGAGGCTATCAAAAGGCCATTGGATGATTAGTTAGTCAGAAACAATCTGCAAAGGTATGGGGAAAAGGCAGGAGAGAGCACCAAGTCACGATGTTCATTTTGGAGAACCAGCATGGATATGATGGGCCAAATAGCCTCTTTGTGGGCAGTAAAAGGTAAAGTTGCCACAGTCCTACTGTCCCGTTAGAGAGAGAGAGAGATGACTAGTGGTGGCTTAACCTAAGAGTCACTATGAGGTTGAGAAGTAGAGTCCTTCATGGTAACATTCATAGGAATTAAACTCACACTATTGGTATTACACTGCATTGTAAACCAGCCATCCAGGCAACTGAGCTAACTGATCCTATGACTGATGTACAGAGCTGCATTAGAACATGTGGGACAGGGGTCATCTATAGGCCATGATAGCATGGATACCAAGTTGCTTCATCTGAGTTTCATCAATGAATTAATTTGCTGTGTTTTGTGATAACAATAGTGACCCTCTTGGTTATTTACTGGTACCAGCCCAGAAATGGCTAGATTTATGTAATTTATTTCATAATTTGCAGGGGTGGAATTTGGACTCGCAAACAGTAGGTTATTTCCCAGAGCAACTGGAGATGAACAATAAGTAAGGGCTTGCCGACAACACCCACGCATTGAGAGTAAATAAAAACGAATCATTCTGAAACCAGGTGCTGTGAGCTATTGGAATGTGGTACTGCAAAACTGTGCTGCTGGAATTTCTCTCCCGCCCAGACGGCAGCTTCATTACCCATGGGAGTGGTCCCTGCCTGTTGGTGCGAGAAACCGTCTGGAACTACTTTACCAACCATCAGGAAGAAATGTTGTCTGTACTCCACACTCGAGATCATCTTGGGCAGGGGCGTGGAAAACATAGACAGATTCAGATAAGAGCTTAACACCACAAAGGTAGATAGGAAAACAACTTCTGAGGAGGATTCGAAGAGTCTGCAAGAGGATTTAGATGGACAAATGGAGTAGGATACTGGAAAATGTGTAGGTGTTTGACCACTCTGATAGAAAGAATTGAAAACAGAATACACGTATTCTTCAAATGGAGAGACTGCGGAATGCTTCAGTACAGATGGACCTGTGTGTTCTGGTGCATGCATCACAAAAAGTCAGTGTGCAGATACAGCAAGTAATTAGGAAAGCAAATGCAGTTTATTGCAAGGAGGCTGGAGAATGTAAGTCAGAAAGTCTTGCTCCAACTGTCCAGGACAACGATGGAACTGCTGCTGGATTTGGTCAATGTATTCAAGGAGGGATGGATTTGTATTGGAACCAGCTCAGAGAAGGTTCATGAGGTTGATTCCTGGGAAGAGGCGTTGTCTTATCAGGAAATGTTGAGCAGTTTAGACTGATAGTCATTAGAGTTTAGAAAAGTGGGGATGGCATGACTTTTATATAAGACTTTGAGAGGTTTGACAGGATGGATGTTGACAGGATGTTTCTCCTGATGTGGGGGTGGGGGGCGGCGGGTGCATCTGGAACAAGGGAATTCCATTTCAAAACAAGGGGGAGCTTGAAGATGATGAGCAGTGCTCATTTCACATTGTGCAGCTGTATAGCCACTGAGAAGCTCTGCACACGCCAAACAGCACCAATGTGTAACTCCCATTTCAAGAAGCTGCTGCTACACACTAACCTGAGAGGGTCTTCTTCTCTCAGAGGGTCATCGATCTGTGGAATTCTTTACCCCGGAAAGTGGTAGGGACTTGGTTGTTAAGTATATTTAAAATTGAGTCAGACAGTTTTGCTTGACAAATAAGTCAAAAATTATGCAGGCAGGAAGGGAATTAATGCCATAATCATGTCACTTGATTGGTGCAGCAAGCTCAATGGGCTAAGTGGCCTACTCCTGCTCCTACTTCCTCTGATCTTATGTCAACGTGAACTCCGGAAGGTAAGAGGTTCACCCTCTGTTTTTGAAGTCATTTTCACCCTGACGTCTCACAAACATAAATGATCACATGGGTTAGATAGAGAGTCAAGGTCCTTCTACACAGTCCCAGAGAGAAGAAGGTCTAGCTGTACAATACTGTCAGCTGCTTAGAATCAAGGAGGCTTAACGTAGGTGTTTGGACAAGCCTCATGTACAAGAAATTGATACAGGTGAAACTTACCTGAAGGGAGGGCCATTTCTTTCTGACTTAAACTGCTGAGGGATGACTGATAGCCACTAGAGGTTGCTCCAGAGAGTCTGAAAGGTTGAAACATGTAAAAATTGTAAAATTATCTGTTTAGCATCATTGATTTGCTTCTCAAGGGGCAATTAGGGACAGGCAATAAGTGCTGGTCCAACCAGCAACCTCCACATCCCATGAACAAATAAATTAAAAATAGTTAATCAAAACTTTTTCTTGTATTTTGTGACTTTAGGTTTGATGGAGGAGTAATGGTTGTTGAGGTTATTGCTGAATTCATCTAATTTTGTTTGTGTAAAATACACCATAAAGCAACATAAATACAGAGGTAAAGTGACTGAATAACTGTATCATGTAAGGAATTAATTGATGAGAATGAGAAAAGAGCCCCTGAAATTCAAAATGTAGCCTCCTCCACCACCAAAAATTGTTTTGTGCCCTCTTTCCAGCATCCGCAGTTTGTAAATTCATAAAGTCATTGAGTCACACAGCACAGAAAAGGCCCTTTGGCCCATCGAGTGTGCACTACATAACTCCCACTAAAGGTGTGCTAATCCCAATTTCCTGCACTTGTACCATATCCTTGAATGTTAAGTTATTTGAAGTGCTCATCCAAATTTTTTTTAAAGGTTGTAAGGTTTCCAGCCTCCCCTACCTTCCCAGGCAATGCATTCCACCTTCCCACCATCCGCTGAGAGATAAAGTTTTTTCCCAAATCCCCTCCAGATCTCCTACTCCTTACTCTAAAACTATGCCCTCTCATGATTGACCCCTCAACCAAGAAGAACAGCTGTTCTCTGTTTACCCTGTCCATACCCCCTCGTAGTCTTATACACCTCAACCATGCCCCCCCTCAGTCTTCTCTGCCCTAAAGAAAACAATCCAACCCTATCTAGTCCCTGACAACAAGGTGTAGAGCTGGATGAACACAGCAGGCCAAGCAGCATCATAGGAGCAGAAAGGCTGCTTTTATCAGTCATGGCATAGAGCATAACAGCAAAGAGGTAATGTTGGAGTTGTACAGAACGATGGTCAGGCCACAGCTGTAATAATGTGTCACCCCACTACAGGAAGGATGTGATAGCACTGCGGGGGGCGTGGGTACAGAGGAGGTTCGTCAGGATGTTGCCTGGGATGGAGAAATTGAGTGAAAATGAGGGACTAGATAGGAGATAGTAGGGACTGCAGATGCTGGAGAATCCGAGATAACAAGGTGTAGAGCTGGATGAACGCAGCAGGCCAAGCAGCATCAGAGGAGCAGGAAAGCTGACGTTTCGGGTCTAGACCGTTCTTCAGAAATAGGGGAGGGGAATTCATCCAGCTCTACACCTTGTTATCTCAGATTCTCCAGCATCTGCAGTCCCTACTATTTCTGAAACAATTTTAACGCCACTGCGAAGCCCCTTCTAAGGATGCCTACCTTGAAGAAGTTACCCTCCTTCCTCCGGAAAGACCTCAGTGGATCTCTCTCTTCTCCTTTATCCATCTTCTATCCACTTCCCCCTCTCTCCCTATTTATTTCAGAATCCCCTTCCCTTCCCCCATTTCTGAAGAAGACCCAAAACGTGAGCTTTCTGCTCCTCTGATGCTGCCTGCCCTGCTGTATTCCTCCAGCTCCACACTGTGTTATCTCAGACTCCAGCATTGGCAGTTCTTACTATCTCTGAGGTTTCCAATACGCCTTGTAACTATCCTATTCACATGCTCTGCCAACTTCAGAGATCTGTGAATAACTACCCCAAGATCCTGTGTTCCTCTAAGCTACCTAGTGTCCTGCCATTCATTAAATACTCCTTCATCTTGTTTCTGCTTCCAAAGTGCATCACCTTGTACTTATCAGGGTTAAAAACCATCTGCCACTGGTCTGCCATCTGACCCACACACCTATATCTTCCTTAACCTACAACCATCTTCGCTATTAACCACTCTACCATTCTTGGTGCCGTCTGCAAATTTGCTTCACATTGCCCCCCAAATCTTCATCTATATCATTTATGTATCTAAAAAACAATAAGGGCCCCAGTACTGATCCTTGTGATATACTGTTAGACACCAGCCTCAAGTCACGACAATAGCCTTCTACCGCTCTCCTTTTCATCCTATTACAAAGCCAGTTTATGATCCATTTTATCAAGTTTTCCTCAATTCCATGTGCTTTAAACTTTTCAATCACTCTCACATGTGGGACCTTGTCAAAAGCTTTGCTAAAATCCGTATAAACTACATCAATTGAACTTCCTTCATCCACACACTTGATCACATTTTCAAAAAATTCTGACAAAATTGTTAGACATGACCTCCCTTTAACAGAGACATGCTGATTATCCCTAATTAACCCATGCCTTTCCAAATGGGTATTAATTCGCTCCTTCAGAATTTTCTCCAATAGTTTCCCTACCACTGAGAAGGAACTGTAATTTCCTGGTTCATCTGTGCCACGCTACTTCAAAAGTGGAACCACATTAGCCATTCTTGTCAGGCACTTACCCCCACGGCCCGAGAGGAATTCAAAATTTGTGCCAGAGCCCCTGCAGTTTCCTGCCTTGCCTCTCACAGCAGCCTAGGATGCAGTTCACCTGGGCCAGGAGGTTTGTCTGTTTTTAAATCCGACAGAGTCTCTAATACCTCCCCATTTCCTATGTCAAACTGTGCAACTTCCTCATAGTCCCTTTCCTGAATTCCATATGCACGTCCTCCTCTTCCAGAGTGAAGACTGGAGAGAACTATTCATTTAACACCCTTCCAATATCTTGCGGCTTCACACACGGATTGCCCCCTTGGTCCCTAATGGGCCATACTCTTTCCCTGGTTAACCTCCCCTTTAATGTATTTATAAAATATCTTAGGATTGTTTAGAATGCTGTTTGCAAGTCTGTTTTCATGCCCCCTTTTTGCTGTCTAATTGCTTCCTTAAGTTCCATCCTGCACTTCCTGTATTCCCGTAGGGCCACAGCTGAATTGCTCCCTTTAGACTTGCTAAAAGCCCTACCCTTCTTCTTTATCCAGTCATGAATTGACCTAGACATCCAGGGTTCTCTGAACTTATTGCTGCTACCTTTCCCCCTGAAGGGTACATGTTGGACCTGTACTCTCCTGAGTTCCTTTTTGAATGCCCCCCATTGCTCTGCTGTAGACTTACTAGCAAGAGATATTTCCAGTCAACTGTAGCCAGATCCTGCTTTATTTTAATAAAATCTGCCTTCCCCGCAATTCAAAAGCTGTCTTTTGCAGGCCATCTTTTTCCTTATCTAGAAAGTATTTGAACTGTACTATGTTGTGTTTGCTATTGCTAAAATGTTCCCTCACTGCCACGTCAAACAATTGTCCAGCTTCTTTCCTCAGAACCACACCCAGCACTGCACCGTCCCTTGTTGGGCTTTCTGCATATTGATACAAAAAACTCCCCTGCATGGCCGGTATCCTGTCACCAAGTCATCCTTTATTTACATGTGTATCGTATTTGATACTGATTCAGCTTCCTCAGAGCCAGCTCTCAGAGTGACCAGAACCCCTGTCTCTCCTGTTTCTATCTGTCAGCCAGGACTCCCTGATTGGACCAGGTTAACAGCCCCAATCAGGGAACTCATATTCTGTGAGGCCCACTTGGCTGACCTCGTTACAATCACTACATCCCTCCCCCTCTAAGTCCAGGGGTATAGGCCTGTTCTTTTTCTTGAAGCCTGTCCTTCAGTATGTTCACACCGTTTCCAGTTCCTCGGACACAGCCTCGGATATGGCCAGCGTGTACTGGACAGTAACCCGCCCCTTGCGCCCGGAGCATCTTGGAAGAAATTCATCCTCTTCTTCAGACGGTAAAGGCATTGAGGCTGCAACATCCACTGTGTCCATCTCAGACTCTGAAGTTTCTTCGACGCTAGACGGATTGAGAGAACCCATGGGTTTTAACCTGACCTTGCATCAACCATGCCTCTTACACATGCAGGGCCATTCCCGTGGTTTTGGAACCAAACTTCATCCTCTGAAGTAAGCTCTCTTCGAGGAATCTTGTGTCCAGCATTGGCATTCCTGATGCCATTTCACTGTCCCACCCCCCCAGGTCTGGGAAGATCAGACTTCACCTGGTCCAGAGTCTTCTCCCCATTAGCAACTCTGCTGGAGCTATCCCTGTAGTTGCATGAGGGCAGGCCCTATAAGCAAATAGGAACCAGGACAGTTTGGTATTGAGTGAAGCTGTAGGCTGTTTCTTTAAACCTGACTTTAAAGTTTGTACTGCTCTTACCACCAGATAATGGATGGTATGGAGTTGTCCTTATATGCTTAATGCCATTCGACTCCAGGAAATGCTTGAATTCTCTGCTGGTAAATGGTGGCCTTTCTTCTGTGATGCGTGCAGTTTATCTATTATCATCCTTGTGTTTGATGAATGAATTGTATGCACATCCAGCCACTTTGACTGGGCCTCCACAATGACTAAGAACATTGAGCCCATGAAAGGACCTGCATTATCTGGGGTTTACCGGGCCATTCCCATGAATGTGGAGGAACTGCTGGCAGTAATTTTTGTCCTTGTTGGCACTCTGGGCACTACACCACCAATGCAGCTATGTCTGCATCCAATCCTGGCCACCAGACATAACTTCTTGCCAGTATTCTTTGTTTTGGAAATTCCTGGATGACCCTGTTGGAGTTCAGCCAGTATCTGGCAACAACTTTTACTCGGGACAATCACTCTTGTTCCCCATAATAATATGCTGTAGTCTACAGTGATCTGGTCTCACTGGATCCAGAAAGGTTTCAATTCTGATTGTGATGGCCCTTTTGTTTCCTCCACCTCCACCAGCTGTTTCAGGTTTGCTAGGACAGGATCATTTTGCATCCACAGTCTGATATTTTCAGCAGTGACTGGAAGGAAGTCCAGAATGTTTAAAACATGAACAGACTCTTCCAGTGGCAGCACCACTGGTGCTGTACCTGCCAGTGGGAGGCAGCTCAAGGAATCCACATTTACTACTTGGCCTCCCGGATGGTGTTCCAACTTGTAATTGTACGCACTTAGAACGATCAGCCACCACTGAATTTGACCTGAATGCCCTGTCCTCTTTGAATAGCTCTAGCAGGGGTTTGTGGTCTGTTACTATTACAAATCTGTGTCCGTAAAGGTATTAGTGGAATTTTCTCACGCCAAACCTTCCTTCTCTATCTGGGCATATTTGTGCTGTACTTCAGCCAAAGTCCAGGTAGCATATGCCATCGGGCGTTCCTCTCCATGGGGCCATGCGTGAGCCAACACTACTCTGATGCTGTGTGGGGAGGCATTGCATATCAGCACACATCTCACTTGAGATCACAGTGTGTCAACACCTTAGATGCTGATAGCTGCTTCTTCACTTCCCTACGGGCTACATCTTGGCTATGAGACCATTTCCAAGGCTGACCCTTTATCAATAGCAGATGTAAGGGTGCAGTAATGAAGGCCAGGTTATATATGAACTTTCTGTAATAATTCACCAATCCAAGGAAGTACCTAAGCTCCTGTACAGATACAGAGTAGGTCTCTTGAGTTGCCTGGAATATACATTTTTCCCTTCTAATGCGTACACCCGCCCTGGGGAAACATCTAAGCACTGTGTCCTAGTTCTCTCAGAGCTACTTATTGATCGTCCCTGTTACTAGCATGTCATCCAGATAAATGGCGACCTGGGGTCGACCTTGTAAAATGTTATTCATTGTCTGCTAAAAGAATTGCACAGGCTGAATCCTATTTCTAAACTCACTAGCATTTGGCACCAGGAGTAATCCAGAGTGAACAGGAAACCGGGTTAAACTCAGCAGCATCTGCGAAGAAAAAAATCAGAGTTAACATTTCGGGTCCGGTGACCCTTCCTCAGAACTTGTCCGGACCCGAAATGTTAACTCTAATTTTTTTCTTCACAGATGCTGCCAGACCTGCTGAGCTTTTCCAGCTATTTCTGTTTTTGTTACTGGTTTACAGCATCTGCATTTCTTTCTGTTCTTAGGAAACCAGGTTAACACTCCAATTAGGGAACTCACAATCTATGAAGTCCACCTGGCTGACTTCATTATAATCACTACAGACACATTTCAAGAAATCTGCCCCTGTAAACCCTTAACACTGTGACTATCCCAATTTATGTTGGGAACGTTGAAATGCCCTAGTATAATTACCCAATTATCACTCTTACACACCTCTGTGAACTATCTACATGTTTGCTCCTCCATTTCCTGCTGATTCTTTGGGGGCCTATAATACACTCCCAGTAAAGTGGTTGTCCCCGTAACAGTATTAGGTTTTATCCACAAAGCCTCATTTGAGGACACTCCCCAGGTATCTTCTCTCCTTATTGCAGTAATTAACTCCTTAATTAGTAGTGCTACACCACCACCCTTTTCACACCCTCCTCTGTCTCACCTAAAGATCCTATACCCTGGAATGTTGAGTTGTCAGTCCAGTCCTTCCCTCAACTATGTTTCTGTGATGGCAACAATACCGTGTGTCAATCCACGCCATTAACTCATCAGTCTCACCTATAACACTCCTAGCATTAAAGACCATCCAGCCTTGCCTTACCCTCTTGACACTCAACGTAGCTCAACTTACTGTGACTTGCTTCCTTTGCTGTAGCATGATGTGTCTCTGTTTCATCGATATTCTGTACCCCCTGCCCCTGCCACACTAAACTCCTCCAACTAGCAAACCCACCTGCAAGGATGTTGGTCCCAGTGTGCTTCAGGTGCAGACTGTACTGTTCGTACAGGTTCCACCTTTCCCCAAAAACAGTCTCAGTGATCCAGGAATCTAAAACCCCACCTCTTGCACCAACTTTTGAGTCATGCATTCATCTGTTCTATTTTCCTATTTCTAAACTTGCTAGCACGCAGACCAGGAGTAATCCAGAGATTACAGCCATTGAGGTGCTGCTTTTTCATCTACTGCCAGCTCCCTAAGTTCTTGATGCAAGACCTCAAAGAGGGCAGGACCATACTGCCCATAGCTTCAGGTCAAATTCAGTGGTGGCTGATCATTCTAAGTGCGTACAATTACAAGTTGGAATGCCATCCGGGAGGCCAAGTAATAAATGTGGATTCCTTGAGCTGCCTCCCGTTGGCAGGTACAGCACCGGTGGTGCTGCCACTGGAAGAGTCCGTTTATGTTTTAAACTTTCTGGACTTCCTTCTGGTCACTGCTGACAATATCAGACTGTGGCACCAACACGTACCACGACCTCATCCCTGACCCTGGCATTATGGAGGCAACACAGCATCCTGGAGTCATGTCTTCAGCCTGTATGCTCCCCTGACTAAAGAACCCCCTATCACTGTTGCTCTTCCCTTCTTCTTCCCCAGCAAACCACCCTCAAACCCGGTATAGTCAGGCCAAGAAGCTTGTGGGGCCAGAAGCTTGGCTCTGACTGCACTCCTCCGACGTTCCAGCACTCACATCAGCTTCCAAAACATTTGTTCCTCCATTATTCGTACTGTGCTGGGCATTTGTAAATGAGATTAATTTAAATTTAAAATGAGAAAATATTTATCACTCAATTGTAAGTTGTACTTTTCTGTTATTAAAACTCACTTGTGTGGATACAATTAGGACATTATTGAACATCAATAGGTTGGTACTAATTTACTGGGAGATTTTGAAATACCAAGCTAATACCAACAGTCGTATGACAATAGAATACATCACTGTTAGTTCAACATATTCTCATTTGTACATGGGATTGTTATCTGTAGTGCTTGTGAAGTTTATGTTTTTTGGATGCTGCCAGCCTGCCCATTGTATTGACCAGTTTCAAAGGAATGAAGCTGGTTGTGTATATGAGTGGCCAAGTGGTGTGTAACTGTCTGACAAAGCTGTCGTTGTAAAGTGTATTGTCCTGAAATCTAAATTGAGTACAAAAGCCAAATACTTTCTAAACCTACAGAAAATAACTTAACTCCACTGTAACAAAGTACTTGAAGGATGTGAAGAAGGCGGTTAAGTGTAGTAGGAGTGGGGTGATGTGATAAGAGGCCTAGCAACAGGAGAGGCACAAGGGCCCGTGATTTCTCTCCCTGTCCCTACCTGTAACCCCAAACCCTGCTGGAAGTGTGAGCACTAACAGTAGGTGAGACTGAGATCAGCCTTAGGTGTGAGGCCCTCCATAGTTAAATACCTGCCAACAGCGACCAACCAGGTTCATATGCAAAGAGTGAATTCTTAAGCTGAATGCTACAAACAACTGAGCTGCAAAAATCAGGGAGGGAATTGAGATAAGCAAGTCCTAAATAAGGATTCTAATAATAAAAAATAATAATAAAAATAATAATAATAAAAAAGAATCTGACATGTTTAAAATAAAGATACAACAAACGCAAGGGTAAACTCCTAGGAAATAGTGGAATCGGTTTACCTGTCATCCTCTCTGTCCAGAAGGCTACGATACGTTGCGATCTCACTCTCCAATTTCATCTTTGTGTTGAGCAACAGTTCATGCTCCCAAACCTGGTGTTCAATGTCTCTCCTAACACCGTGTAACTCGCCCTCCAGCTCTCGAATCACGGATGCCAGATTCTTCAGTTGCACCTCGTACCTCTGCTCAGTCACCTGCAGGGAATTCTCCAAACCCTTCTGCTGTGAGAAGAACATCAAGTTAATGTTGACCCATAATCGTTCTCCACCCAGGGAACTGACTCCAAACGTACAGAGTATAGCTGCCTTCATTTTCATAATTCACATGTTCATCACACACATCTCTCTACTTCTGTTACACTTGTAAAAATGTCGTGAGACCTATAATTTTCATATGTTCAGGTTTATAATGGCAGAAGAGGAGATATTCATGAGGTTGTGGAGAAAAGGCAGGATGGTGACAGAGGTTGTTGGACAAGGGAGATAAGTGTTTGGAGGGTGGACAGGAATGTAGAGTTGAGGCCACAATCAGATTAGTCAGCATCTTAACAAGCAGTGGAACAGGCTCATTGGCCTACTCAAATTTCTTATGATCCCATGAGTGGGACAAGCTAAGTAGCTCTTACAGAGGGTTAGCATCAATCTGACTGGCTGAAGAGCCTCCATCTGTGCTGTAACAGTTCTACAATTCATTCTGAAACATCCTATTCCAGGCTCCCCATCTCCTACCGACCAACCTCATCCCGCCCCCTTGACCTGTCCGTCCTCCCTGGACTGACCTATCCCCTTCCTAACTCCCTACCTACACTCACCTTTACTGGCTCCATCCCCGCCTCTTCGACCTGTTTGTTTCCTCTCCATCTATCCTCTCCTCTATCCCTCTTCTATCCGCCTCCCACTCTCTCCCTATTTATTTCAAAACCCCCTTCCCCTCCCCCTTTTCTGATGAAGGGTCTAGGCCCGAAACGTCAGCCTCTCTGCTCCTATGATGCTGCTTGGCCTGCTGTGTTCATCCAGCCCTGCACCTTGTTGTCACTGAACTGAAACTTGGGTCCCAATTATAACTGTGTCTCTCTCACAAATACTGATGGATTTGTTGAGCATTCCTAGCTTCTCTGCCTTTATTGTAGATCTCCAACTTTTTATAGAATCTCTACAGTGTGGAAACAGGCCATTCAGCCCAACAAGTACACACCACCCCTCTGAAGAGCATCCCTCCCAGACTTATTCCCCTACTCCTGCATTTCCCTTGTCTAACCCACCTAAGCTAAACATCCCTGGGAACTAAGGGCAATTTAGCATGGCCAATCCACCCTAACCTGTACATCTTTTAGAGTGTGGGAGGAAACCAGAGCACCCGGAGGAAACCCACACAGACACGGGGAGAATGTGCAAACTCCGCACAGACAGTCACCCAAAGGTGGAATCAAACCTGGGTCCCTGGTGCTGTGAGGCAGCAGTGCTAACCACTGAGCCACCATGCCACCCTTTTGTATTACAACAAGAATCTGTATGTAAACATTTCAAAAGGGGAACAAGGTAATGGAAAAACCCACTTATAACTGAGTTACTCAGAGCTGTCCTTCATTCTGTTTTTTAAAATTTTATTTTCTTATTCCAGGTTTAATGTGTGTCAGCACCACTTTGCCCAAGCAGCTTGTACTTCAAGAGGGTGCCAGGGATCTGGACATACTGACAGGGGCCTGTGCTTGAAGTCTAGGAACTCTGCAGGCTTCTATCTGGAGGTCTGATAGCTGGCTCAGAGTTTCAAATAGATTAGGGTCTTGCAGCATGACATGCCGGATTCTATAAACAGTGATGCTGCCTGGCCTGCTGTGTTCCTGCAGAAGTTAAATCCAATTGTTCAAAAGACCATTCTTTTTAGAGACTGCAAGTTTTTATTCTGAAGGTTGAGCTTCCAGCTATACAGTTAGTTCATAGTGCAGCTCTGCAGGGAAAGATTTCAGAAGTGAATTTGGAACCACAATGAAACAAACAGGGCAGTAACGAGGAGCAGGGAGAGTGTTAATGACACAGAGGAACTGATTGCAGGAACCACTAACTTTCCTGCAAGTGACAATTTAAATGACTTCATAAAACAAATTGCAATCCTGTTTCCTGGATCCAGAAACCAAGAGTCAATCAATTATTTAGCACTGGATGTATGAATGCCAGTGAAACAAAGAGCTGTAAAACACAGTTACTGGTTCTACATTCATTAATAGGACGAGGGTGTAGATGGCTAGACCAGCATTTATTGACTGGCCCTAATTGCCCAGAGAGCAGTCAGTGGGGTCAATATGGAAAGAATGAATTCTGGAAAAGAAATATAAACACATCAAATGTTCACTTGTGTGAAGTAAAGATTTCAAAAATTTAATTGTCAGTTTGCTGAAAATTATTCGGCATTAGCAAAATAAATCCTTACAAAGCAAAGGAATAACCAACTGGTAAACACTTAACAACAAACAATTCAATATTCAAATCAACAGTGCTGCAATCCTTCAACACCGACCCTCCGACAGTGCGGCGCTCCCTCAGCACTGACCCTCCGACAGT